AGATACTCTTACACACCTAGTAGATGATTAAAATCTGACACACTAGCAACACTGCATGTGCAGCAACAGAAATTTTCATTTGTTGCTGGTGTGGATGGAAAATAGTACAGCTACTTTGAAAGACAGTTGGGCAGTATGTACCAAAATGAAACATACTCTTACCATATGATTTGGCAATCACATTCCTTTGTGTTCCCCAAAAGGAGTTGAAAACTCATGTCTACACAAAAACTGCACATGGGAGTTTATAGCAACTTTATTAATCACTGCCAGAACAACTTTGAAGAAACAAAACTATCCTTTAGTAGGTGAATGAATAAACTTTGGAACACCCAGCTAATAGAGTATCATTCAGCAATAAAAATAAATGAGCTATCAAATCACAAAAAGACATCAAGAAAACTTAAATGTATATTACTAAGTGGGAGAAGCCAATCCTAAAAGGTTACAAACTCTATGATTTCACTTACATCACATACTGAAAAAGGCAAAACTATAGATACGTTAAAAAAAAAAAAAAATTAAAATGGTTGCCAAGGGTTAAAGAGGAAGGAGGGATGTATACACAGAGTAGAGAGAATTTTGGGGGCAGTTATATCTTACTTTCTCTGTAGGAAACTAAGATGCAAGATTGATACATCTTATTACACATTTGTCCAAATCCATAGCTTTTACGTCAGCAAGAGTAAACCACCCTAGTGTAAACTGTGGACTTTTGGTGATTATAATATGTCAACGTATGCTCATAAATTATAACTAACATATACCACTTTGGTGGGAAATGTTGACAATGAGAGAGGCTGTGCATGTGTTGAGACAGGAACTATATGGGAAATTTCTCTATCTTCTGCTCAATTTTGCTGTGAGCCTAAAACTGCTCTAAAATTAAAGTCTATTAAAAGAAAAAGACATACCAGATTCAGTGGCTGAAAGATCAAATTATATCAGTGCAACTGTATAATCTCCAAAGGTCAGACATACAGACCCAACTTTGCCAAATGGTTGAATCCTAGTACATGTATCTATGCTAACTTCCCAACTATTCTAGAGTTTCTGATATTATTAATAACCACACGAGCTATCCTTTAAGGAAACAAGGAAGTATAATAGTGAAAAACAGAAGAGTGACATACATTTTCAGATTAATATTTATTCATGAAGAATATGAGAATGAATTTCTATTCTGATGCAGTGAGTAGCTGATCTTTCATGCATTAGAGGTTTCTTCCTTTGAGAGTGATAAGAGTTCAATTACTTGATCTTTTTTTTTTATTTCAATTGCTTTTTCTAGAAATATGACTCAGCAAAAATGGTGGGCTGAGATGTGATACATTTAATTCAGTGATTCTGAAGGGAGACGCTGCCAAATACAGTTTCTATAAGTCCCAAGCTGGAATTAAAATTTTTGAAATGTCCTCAACTCTTTTTGATCTGCAATTATAGAATCTATAAACTACATAACAGTAGTTTTCCCCTTATCTTCAGAGTACATATTCTCAAACCCCCAGTGTATGCCTTAAACCATGGATATTACTGAACCTTATATACACTGTCAAGGGTTAAGGAAGAAGGAGGAATGAATACAGAGTAGAGAGAATTTTAGGGGCAGTTTTTTCCTATATATACCTATAGTATAATTTAAAAATAAATTAGGCACAGTAAGAGACTAACCATAACTAATAAAAAACACAGAACAATTATGAAAATATGCCAGCATCACTGTTCTTGCACTTATTATTAATAATTGCTATTACTAAGTAAAGCAATCTTTACTTGAACACAAGCACTGCAATACTGGATACTGCAACAGATGAGATGGCTATTAATTGACTCACAGTCAGGTAGTACATACAGCATGGATACACTGGACAAAGGGATGAGTCATTTCCATACTAGTTGGAGTGAGATGGTTTGAGATTTCATCAGGCTACTCAGAATGGCATGCAATTCAAAACTTATGAATTGTTTATTTCTGAAAATTTCTGTCTAATATTTTCAGACTGCAGTTGACCACTGTTAACTAAAACTGTGAAAAGTGAAGACACTCATAAAAGAAAACTACTGCACACATATTGTAGAGTTGGCTACTGGTTAAGACAGTACCATGGTAGGCGCCAAAATCCATCAGAAATAATTATCACAAGAACAAAACCAACACCGTCAATCACAGCAACTAATCTCTGTTGAGTAAAATATGGTCAAAATAAACACCCAGTGAAATTTCAGAGCCAACAATTAAAATCAGCCTATCTGATATTGATATTTATATTCTTAAAATTTTTGAGTTTTACATGTAGAACATACTACATTTACCAACTGCCTTCTGCAGAAGTCTGAAGAATACTGGTCTCAATTAACTGGTAGTTATTACAGGCCAAGAGAAAAACTGTGAGAATGAAGATAGCTGAGCGAGCCAAGACAAGCAGCCACTTCTCAAAATATTTTCTCTGTTTACCTTTATTTCAAGAACAATTCTTACTGGCTTCTCAGGACATAGAAACACTCAAATCAATGGAATTAGAATAAAAATCTCCACTATTGACAAGGCAGAGAAAAATGAAATGTTGTACCAGGAGAGTAAGAGTGACAGGGTTATCTGTGCTTACCATTATTCCTCGAACAAATTATTTTTGATTATTAAATTTTATTTACACACAACCTATCTAAGACATATTTTCATATGCATGTTTCAAATCCTTATTTAAAAGTTATAATAAAACAAATATACTAAGGGAAAATAATGATGTTAACTACACAGTGCTTTTGTCTTGCTTAAAAAGTATCATTATAAATATATAAGAGCAAATTTACATGCATCTTAATAAAGATCTAAAATAAACTAATATTTAGGGCACACACATACACACACACATACAGTGTGTTTTCCCAAAGTTTTATAGCTACAGCTGGAATTGATACCAGTGAAAGGATTTTACTCAACGATATTCATAATGATAGGCAAAAAGTTCTTGTTTTAAACAGCATCAATATGGCCATCTAAGAAAAGAAAATTGTCTTGAATCCTTTCTAAAATATTGATAAAATTCAAAATTCACCAATATTCATAGCAATTATCAGAAACTCTTCTGGAAGTCCTTCTTATCTTCAGTATGGGGAAATTCATTTCATTGGGATTGTGTGACTGAACTGATAGGCTAGAGACCCATGTTTTGTCCTGTGAAATTCAGAGAAAACTCCAGCTTGAAATAAAAAGGAATGTACACTATTTTTGTGAATTGTGAAGTTCTACAGAATCCACAGTCACAGCAACCACAGTCTTGAGCTGAGTTCTCCTACAGCTCCCTGTCTACCATCAGTCCTTCTGCTTCATTAGTTTTTCAGAGATAGAAACCCCCACAAGTAACAGAAGTGTGGAAATATTTGTGATGACATACCCTTGAAACAGAGAGAGAGTGTTGCAGGCAAAGGTGGAGGCAAGGAGGCCACATAAGTAAGATACTTGGAATTGAGGATTTTTCATGTCTTCACTCCTGAATACCAGAGAACCAGATATTGAGGATGGGAAAAGGCCTAAATCTGTCCAGCAGAGCTGAAGTAATTGAACAAAACTATATATCAGAAAAATGACCAAGAGATTTGCATATCAATCTGACCCTTAGCCTCTCTTGCACATGGGAAGGATAGAAACTTTGAGCTGGGCATGGTAGCTCATGCCTACTCATCGTAGTGACTTGAGATGCTGAGGCAGTAGGATCCAGGAGCTCAAGGCCTCAACGAGCTATGGTAGCACCACTACACTCCAGTCTGGGTGACAGAGAGACATCCCATCTCTAAAATGAACAAAGGAAGAAGAAAGTTTGAAAGACAAGTAACACATTTTCTCTTACTGTTGTCAACACTAGGCCTGTTATTCTAAAATAAATTAAAACATCAAAAACATAAATCCATGAAGGATATTTGAGATAAAGAAACAGAAATTTTATTCTAGTATACTATTCTAAGTCAAAGCATATCTATGAAAATTATTGATTGCAAGCACAAGAATATCATTTTAGACATCTTTTTGCCATTCTTAATATAATAATTAATTCACTATATGTTGCAGAATTATAATATTTTAAAGGGAAAATTCTCAGATCAAAACAAAACAACATAAGAGTTTATCTTACTGCTTTCGGTGTTCTAGGCGCTATTTCAAACTTTTTGTCAATTAATTTGATCATCACAGAAAAATCTAAAGTCATGTTATTATTATTATTATTCCCTTTTATCAATGGGAAAGTTGAGACTTTAAAAATTCAGAATCCCCCCAGGATGGTACCACTAAAATTGGCTAAGGCAAACTCAAACACATTTCTTTCTGAGTCCAAAGCCCACGACATTAAATATTTCATTGAACCATAAGCTTTCTACATTTACAATTTTTTTTAAAATATAGGATTAATTTATTGAATTCAATAACAAAATTAATGACAAATACACAAACTGTTTTCATGTACAAACATTTTAAACTTTCTGTTCATACTGAGGTAGTATCTTTAATAAGACATAAAGATATGGTAAATTTGCCATTTTCTTAGGAATGTTGTGAGAACTAATCGTAATAAATACAAATGAAATTACTCATTGAATATTAGAATATGAAATGACACACAATATACTCCATTAACCAGTAAGATAAACACTGAGGTATGAATACTTTATATAATTTTTACACAGTTATGTTTTCTTCTGGATCAGTCGATAGATTTAAGCCTATTGATAGAATGAATCAGTTCCCACCTCACCATCTTCCCCATCTCTCTAGCCTGGCTAGGTTTCTCAGGTATTCATTTCCTAACCAAACCCATGACACAGCTGCTGATTCCAAGGGTCAGTCCCAGGTATACAGGTCACAAGTTGTGCCTTGGGCAGTCTACGTGGCTGCTGCTGTGCACAGATGGAGTTAGCAACATCGCCAAAAACATGCATCTCTTCAGCTTATGTGAAGAAATAATTCTAGGCAGTTGCCGTGGGTGTCATCAAAAAAATATTTTTTTTTTTGACACAAGACATAAAAACTTTTAATGGAGGATGATAATGAAGGAGGACACAGCCCAGAGCCCTCCACACGCCTCCCCTGTGCAGCCCAAGCTCTGTCCATGGAGGCCGGACAATCAGAAGGTGTTCTTGATGCGGCCGGCCACCAGCCTAAGGACCTCCCCAATCTTCTTCTGCCAATTGGCGATGTCCTTGGACACGGTGCACCATAGCTCCCCATGCCGAGGCTCTGCGCTCTCACAGCGCTTCCTCACCTCCTCCTGCTGCTCCTCAGTGCCATGCTGCAGCTCAAACTTGTAGAAGAAGGCCCAGGCATCCCCCAGGTCCGAGTAGATCTTCACAGTACGGTGGAACCACTCCCTGGCCTTGGTGATCTTCCGCTCACTCCAAAACAGCTTGGCCACGGCCAGGAGCATGTGAAGGTCATGCTCACACTTCTTCAGGGCATCCATGCTCTTGGTTTTCCTCTGGGGCCTCGCCTCCACGAAGATGGCCTCAGACCACAGGATACCGGAGTTAGGGCACTCCTGCAGCGCCTTGGCCATGAGCGTGTTTGCGATGTTCTTCAGCCCCGCACGGTTCTCCAGCCGCACAGACTCCAACCACAGTCCAGGGTTCTTTGGGTTCTTCAGACGAGACTTTTCCAGAATGGCCCGTGCTCGAGTAAGCTGCCCAATCTTCTCCAGCCGAGACAGCAGCAGCCACAGGGCTGTGGAGTGGGGACACTTCTTCAAACCCTGGTTGTAAGCTTCCCGTGCCTTCTCCATCAGCTCCTTCTGCTCCTCGATCTGCCCCTTCATCATCCACATCTTGGGGACGTCCTGACAGTGCCGCAGGGCCTCCTCGCACAGGTCCTGCGCTGCCTTGATGTTGTCCTGCACCCACTCCAGCTTCACAGACTTCATGAACACCCGGGCGGTGGGGGCGCTGCTCCGCGCTTTGGCCAGCAGCCTCCAGGCCGCTCATACTCATCATTCTCAGACTCCAGCTTCACAGCCGCCAGCCAGATCTCCTCGCTGTTGAGGTTGGCCTGGAAGGCCAGAGTCAGGATGGTCCTTGCTGCGGGCACATCCCCTGCCAGCCACTTGGACTTGGCACCCATGAGCCACAACACCTCCGCTTTGGGGCAGTGGGCCACAGCCCTCTGCAGGAGTGCTTCCAGGGACTCCCGAGTGCCATGGTTCTTCTCGAAGCACGCAGCACACGGCCACACACTCTTCTTGCTGGGGAACACTTGCAGGGTGTAGGCGTAGATGGCGCGTGCACAGTCCAGGGCATTGTGGGCCACACAACCGTCAGCATCCTCCATCCAGGTGTGCTTCCGATCTTCCTCCTTAAGGAGGAGGAGGAGCAGGGACTGGTCGAGGGTGACCCGGGGGACCGCGCCATTGAGGACCCGGAGCTGGAAGCTATCAAAGCTATCAAAGCCAGCCTCCATGTTGCCCGACAGGTACCGGTGTCCCACCAGGCCTGGCGCCCTCCTGCACCTCCTGCACGCGCCAGCCTCCCACTTGCTTCCTAAAGGCGACCCTGGCACACACCCGCATGCGCCCGGTGTGGCCTGCCCAGGGCCAGTGGGGGGGCTGCATCCCACCGGTGCCCGCCACAGCCCTGCCTGCCCTACAGCCCAGTGGGGTTTAATCAAAACGCGATGCTTTGTGAATCTTTAAAGCTCAGAGGTGGCCGAGTTGGGGGTCTGGGCAGGGGAAGGCTGGCAGCTGGTCCCATGGCAAGCCAGGGTCCCTTCCCGTGGGGTCTGGCCCTATCCCAGCATGTCCAGCCCCTGAAGTTGGGGGAAGGGAATCTGCCTTTGCTGCCACTGCCAGGCCAATGCCCTGCAGCTGAGACCTGGCCGCACATCAACAGAAAACCCCTCCCAGTGCCAGCTGCACAGGGTGGGTGGGCCCTGGGGGCAATACGGGTTCGACCTGAGGGACTGCAGGGTGACATCCAGCAGCCACCACCCCATCACTGCCCACTTAGCAAGGGAAGCCTGTCCAAGCCTGCCCCTTGCCAGGTGTGCCCTGAGGCTGGTGGCTAGACATGTGGCCAATAAAAAGCAGACGTAGCCCCCCCCCCCCCAAAAAAAAATATATGTGTGTGTGTGTGTGTGTGTGTGTGTGAGCAACATGGCTGTTTATTCACCTGGGTGCAGGTGGGCTAAGGCTGAAAAGGGCATTAGCAAAGGGCAGTGGGATAGGAGTTGGCTTTATAGGTTTGGGTTGTTTTCTGGGGGCCGGGGTGTTGCAGAGTAAGTTCAGTTACAATGGCAGGGTTGGGTGAGACGTATTTATATTATCATAAGAACAGTTAAGATGACAGGGTTGGGTGAGGGGCTTGTCCAGGAAGCTTTGCTGGGCCATCAGAGACAATGGCGAATGCAGGCAGAGGGTGGGAGACTTCAGCCGAGGCAAGCAGGACTTCAGACTTTCAGGCTCCAGGCTTGCCTATGGAGACCTGACATTCCTGTTTTTATTAACAAGTTTGGGTATGAGCAGAGAATGGGAGCCAGATTTAGAGTGAAATATCAGCTGTAATTGCTTTTTTTCTCATAGTAGCTCATTAGTACTGTAGTAGATTCAAATAGAAACAGGCTTTTTGAGCTGTGGTTTAAGTAGCAGGGGCGACTGCAGAAAGGTGGAGAAGGCGAGGGGCTGAAAGCAAGTGTGTGAGGTGTGAAGAGAAAACTTTGCAGGTGGTGAGAGCTAGAGGGCAAGCAGGGTGTAGCCTGAGATTAAGGTTTTGTTTTGTTTCCCTGAGTATGCAGTTAAATTTGTGAACATTAGAGGATCAGTAGTGTCACTGCCCAGCTGCCCCCCCAGAGTGCTTGGTAGGAATTAAATGAGGTACAGTGGCCTTCCCCTGTAATCCCAGCACTTTGGTAGGCTGAGGAGGGAGGATTCCTTGAGGCTGGGAGTTTGAGACAAGTTTGGACAACGTGGCATATACCCTGTCTCCACAAAAAAATTTAAAAATTATGGCCAGGCATGGTGGCTCATGCCTATAATCCCAGCACTTTGGGAGGCTGAGGCTGGTGGGTCACTTGAGGCCAGGAGTTGGAGACCAGCCTGGCCAATATGGCAAAACCCCATCTCTACTAAAAGTACAAAAATTAGCCAGGTGTGATGGTGCACACCTGCTATCACAGCTACTCAGGAGGCTGAGGCAGGGAAATGGCTTGAACCCAGGAAACAGAAGTTGCTTGAGCTGAGATTGTACTGCTGCAGTCCAGCCTGGGCTACAGAGTAAGACTTTGTCTCAAAAAAGTCCCACAGCTCCTGTGGGATACACTATGTTGAAGTACCATTTCTTCAGGGAAGATTAATTTGTCAATTCAGTCAGGTATTTCAATAGCATGTTTCCCTGCACTACCTAAAAATTATATTGCTTTTTAGCACAATATATACATTCAGCACTAAACAAAATGACAGTATACCTTTGATAGTAAAGAATAATATTCAGAAATAGCATGTATCTTTTCAATAATAGATGGAAAGGATATCTCCAGACATCTGAAAACTTTTTGTTTTGGCCAGTATTTACACTAGGTTTTTTTTAGATCATTGAGAAAACTTCTGTATGAATCAAGCAAATAGTTACACAATGCTGAACTATCTCTTTGACCCTGTGCCCTGGGGTATGACTATTTTTTTTTTGATTTATGCTATTATAATCATTTTTATAATAACCCAATACAATTAAACTATAACTCAGTATCATTCCCTAAAATAATTACCTACTATAGTTCTGTAAGCAGAAAGTAATTTTAAGTAATGATAAGATTACCTTTCATGATTTTCAGCATGTGTAACTCAGATTAGCTATCACCAGTTCTTCCAAATAGATTGATATCTAAAATAAATAAAACAGAAATTAATATGAGCAACACTGGTTTTATTATATTAGCCAACATGATTGTACTGAATAGCTGCAGCATATTCTTCTTCACATTCAAACATTAGTTTATTCGAAATATTCCATTATCACCATTTGAGCTATTAATTTTTTTTTAATTCTTATAACCTCTGAATTTAATGAGTGAATTTTATAATCTGTGCTTGGAAACTATCTTATATATTTGATGCACCTTTCTTATTTCACAGAATAAACTGAGAGCTAAGGATATTAGTTTCTTACTCAAGAGGAAGATTCTCTATATCTAACTACATCTATGTTATCAGTTATCTATCTTCCTTTCTCCCTCCCTTCTTTCTTTTCTCCCTTTCCTTTTCTTCTTCCTCTTCCCTCTCCCCATCTTCCTCCTCTTTCTTTTTTTTCATCTATATTTATCTTTTAAGACACAAATGCTGCTGCTGAATCGCCATCCTGGTATTTAAGCATTTAGTCAGTTTTTGAATGCAAATAACTGACCTAATATTCTACATTAATGCTGAAAGAATTATAATTGTTTCCATGTTTCTAACAGAGACATTCTTTGGGGAAAAGTTGGATCAATATTTTCTAATAGATCTACAATTCCAAATGTAGAAATCAACAGAGCATATCAGACACTACTCTGCACTTATTGGTATTTTAGGTTTTCCATATCAATTAGGGAAGTATGGGAGAAAGCTGTAGAAGATGTAATTGTTAGCAATATAACCATGTCTTGTAGAATGTTCTTTTAATGTGTTTTTGTTTTTTCCTGATATTGTCTACAGAAGTTTCAATAAGTTGCTTGTCTGAGACTGACTGTAGATCACCATTTGGAAAAATAGAAGAAAAGCCTATTAAGTTCAGTTTTACCTGACACTAATCTTTCTACACACAGGAGAAAAAACAACTTCTTTCTGTCCAGTGCTTTTCAGTCTCCTAAAGTTTGAAATGTCTTCTCAAAATTTGTAATTCCACCACTTATAAACATTAATGAGGTTTGTTTGGAAGTCTTAGATAATGACAATAGTATTTTAGAATCAATATGAAAACCATAATGAGGCAAAGTATATTTAAAACTCATTTTATAATAATCATATCTTAGTCACTTAACTCAGTAGAGAAATTGCCACACTATACCCTGTGTTCAGAAAAACAGTTCTTTTTATGTCCTACTTATGATAAGGATCAAACTATCGGCATTAGCCCAAGATTAGTCAGTTCATATTAAGTATATCTGTTGGTCAGTCCTGTATTCTCCAAACAAAAAGAGGTAGTTGATAAGATGTTAGATCCCACTGTGTTTACTTATACAAGGTTTTTGAATTTGTTTTTTTATTTCATACATAGATTTGTTGCTAGCAAAATTATATTTTCATTGTTGATTTTATTTGTTTTACTCTGTGTTCTAAACAGAATGTCTAACTTTCACTGTTCCTCCTTTCCAGAAAACTGTGGGCTATAAACAAATGTGACACTTGTTATCTACCAGAAGTGGAGTTTTAATCTTCTTTCAATAGTAGAGTGTTGGAGTCCGCTCCAAACATGCTTACATTTAATTTGCTTAAGAAGGCTTGAACTAGACAGACTCCACCCTGCAGTTAAATTGTTTTATTAATCTCTAATCTATTTAGGCCAGCTTTATTGCCAAATCTAATAGCACATTAAAAATCAGAAGATATTTAGATTTATCCATCAGAATTTCAATTAATTATCTAAGGTAATTGAAAACACTTTATATTACATTCTTATGAAACTATTTTTGCTTGCTTCTGTGTTTGTTTGAGATAGGGTCTCACTGTGTCTCCCAGGCTGGAATTTAGTGGCATTTTTAGTTCCCTGCATCCTTGACTACCTGGGCTCTAGTGATCCTCCAACTTCAGCCTCCCAAGTAGCTAGGATTAACAGGCACATGCCACCACACCTGGCTATTTCTTTTGTGTTTTTAATGGAGGTGAAGTTTCACCATGCTGCCTAGGCTGGCCTGGAACTCCTGAGTTCAAGTGATCCACTAGCCTCAGCCTTTCAAAGTGCTGGGATTATAGGTGTGAGCCACTGCATCTGGCCAAAACTATTTTTAACCATTAATTTTAAGTTATAAAATTATTTAACATGAAATAATAACATGTATTTGATACATTAATAAATGTTAGTACTAATTAACATTTTTATATTGTCTCTCAGTATTTCACAAATAGGCCCACGGGTCACCTAAAATCAGGCCATATGTGTCATGAGAGCACATATCATGTCTTAGACACTCTGTGTCTTCAGAAATATCCATTGCATTGCTACATTGCGAATATGGTAAGACTATAAATTAGGCTAGCTCAAATCTCTTTTCCCTTTGTCTTCTGATTTTCTAGTATGGTACTATGGACTGAATGTTTGTATTCTCCTGCAAATTCTCATGTTGAAGCTCTTATTCCCAGTGTGATGGTATTTGAAGTGGGGCTTTTGGGAAGTAATTAAGTTTAGATAAGATTATGAGGATGAAGGTTTCATAATGACATGAGTGCTCTTATAAGAAAAGAAATAGATCAGAGTACTTACTATACACTGTGT